TTTTAAATCAATACTTTTACTTTTAATACTCAAGTAAAAAATATCAGATACTTTAGGGCTTTTACTCAAGTAATATTCCTAAAGGAGACTTTAACTTTTACCAAAGTATTTTTTGGTAAGATACTTGTACTTTTACTCAAGTATCACTTTGTGGTACTTTATACAACACTGGAGTTATCAGTCTGTCACAGAAATCAGCATCACTTTCTATCAGCTTTGTTACCAGAAAGAGAGTCAAAGAAGTTATCAGATGACTGCTGACAAATGTGTAAAGTTTGCAATAGATTTCTGTGCAGAATTTGAATATTTCTTTAGGATCTTCTACTACTGAGCCATTGATTAATTGTCTTGAGTTATATTTTGATTGTTGTTTCTCAAGTCTAAAAACATTATGCAGAGTTCTCACCTTCTTCCAGCCATTGTTTGTGTGATCTAACAAACTCTCAGCTCTCTTTTTGTGAATCCCATCCAGTCCATGATTTATCTTATCAAGTTCAACTTTTTCATTTAGGGGAGACCGGGTATGGTTGTAACACTTTTTGCTTCACCATATACAGTATCTCCTTGATTTTTGGAGATCGAGTTCTCAAACTTTAATACGAAATACTCACATGTGTTTACTGCAAATGGTACAGCTTGAAAATCCTGTAAGTACATCACTTAACATCAAAGACATAGAGGCTCTTTGTTAAAACTTACCCCAGTAGTGGGGTAGGTTGTAACACATGCTGGGGTGAGTTGTAACAATAAGCCAAAAGAGGCAAAAATAGAGGCTATGTTGTAGAATTCATTTTGCAACAATTTTATTTGAGGAATAAAACAACCCAGAACGATTTTTATCACTTTTTTCTAATAATGTCAAACACCCATTGTAGTTCTCTCCCCTGGCTGATTTGTCAGTCTGCTGCTAGACTGAAACAGTCACAAGATCTTTTCTTGTGCCTCAGAAAACCTTGCTAGTTCTGTAACAAACACTGGTAGGATCACTGGATCCCAGTTTCCTCAGTCTGATTTGCAGTATCTCATCATGGGAAACCCCATGTTTTTCTCCACAGATCTGATGGGTCGTATTATAGTGTTACAACTCACCCCACACCTGTCAGCCATTGTTTAGCTGGCTGTATTAGCATTGTGCTTGGAAAGCTGAGGAAAAAGGCATCACATTTTGCTTGAGAAGATACCTTTTTAACTTACATCAGTTTTATGATTCTAGCTGTAACTGGCACCAAACAAAATTGGTAAAAAAAAAAAAAAAGCTTTCTTACCTCAAAATATTTTTTTTTCTCATTAAAATCTGAACACAGCAACTTTCGACCCTGATATCCACCATGTGAGGTTGGGAAGTGAGTGGCTTAATATTGAAATAATCACATGATTTCTATCTTCTCTCCTGTTTAAGAAAGCTGCTGGAAACTTAGCAGCGTTCTGCAGTGGGGTGTGTAGTCCCTTTGCAAGTTCTACTTCCTGTACACAAGAACAGATTCCTTAAAACTAAACCAAACTTTGTGGCCTTCCACAAAGAACTGTGCCTTTTCTTTTCATCACTGAAACACATGAAGGGGAAAAAAACACTGTGAAACTCCTCATGATGGCAAAAGACCCTAAAGTGCATGTGACATGCCTATCCATCGAATAAAAAAAGTACCACATTTTTTTGTAACTCGCTAGTCTTTGTTTATTGAAATTATATTATTTGAACTCTGACTCATCTTCATCTCTGATAGTGACTCAAAATAAGCTAAAGAAACATCAGATTCTTCTCTGCGTCCTTAGCCATTTAATGCTCTATTCCATACAGACATTCCCCTTTGACATCACTTCCTGCTACTTCAAATGCAAATATCTCAACAACTGTTCATCTCAGCAGCGGGTAATTATTTTTGCAATCTTTTATCAGTGTTATCTTTCCAATAATGCCTTTATATGTATTTTAAAAATTTCATGTCACATACACTTTAACCTCATGGAAAAACCCTTGCACTCTACTTGCAAAGGAACTGGATAAACATGTTTAATTAATAAATTTTATTCTTTTTCTTAAAATTTCCCTAATTTATTGTGTGTTCCTCTTTTTTCTTTGTTCATATAGTTGCTATTTTTGTATTGTTCTCAATCACAAATAAAGTTTTGACAAAAAAGTTCTACTTCTTGTTTACTACAGGTTTGCTTCTGACATAATTACTTTGTCTGCTTGATTCGCTTCACTGCAATTCACGGAAACACGTCTGATTCGCATTTCGTGATCCGGACCATCACCAAAATGTTACGGTGTGTTTCTTTGGTCAAAACCCACCTGTGGTAAAATAAATACATGAAAATCTGTCCATAAGTTGTTGAGTAATTTTGCCCACAGACAGACAGACACACACGCCTGAAAACTTTACCTCCTCCCTTGGCGGAGGTAATAAATAAATTAAATTAACACTAAAACTAAAGCAGATTGATGACAAGTTGTATTGTTTGTATACAGTGCACTAGAGCAATGGTTCCCAAACTTTTTATCTTCTGACCCACAAAATATTCATTGCAAAAACTTGTGACCCCAAAATATTACTGGTCTGAGTACACAAACTTCATTAATAACCCTAAAAACACAGGCTTTCTGACAATCTAAACAGCTTGTACACAAATATAAATACTTTATTTATAGTTATATTGTGTTTTTGTAATAATTATAGGAAAAATATTACATCAGCAGTTATTTTATTACCCTTTAAATTGATTTCTGGAGATTATCCAAGGTGCTTCATGACCCATAATTGGGTCCCAAGCCCAACTTTGGGAACCAAAGTGCAGTGGTTCCCAAACCTTTCAGCTTTTGACCCACAAAATAACAGTAGCAGAGACCTGTGGCCCCAGCTATTTTTGGATGATAAACATTTGTAACAAGTCAACTAAACATGGGCATAGTAACAATATTTTTATACTACATTTATCCATTTTAAATATACTAACCTCACTCCTTTATAACAACTAAGGCAAAAATGTAATTAATTCAGAAAATCTTTTCAGGACCCCACCTTGATGTTTTGGGACCCCACTTTGGGTCCCGACCCCAACTTTGGCAACCACTGTTGTATTGTATTGTATTGTATT